AGCGTATCCATTTCTTTCGAAGTTCTACTGATTCTTTGCTTTTTCCATTTGGAAAATTGTAGAAGGAAAGCTCGGGACTTCGTTTGTTGTTGTTGAAACAACCAGGGACACAACAGGTGAAGCCGCCACTAGATTTCGATTTTTTCGACGTACAGTTGGAATTCTCATCAATATTTTTAGAGCTAGTTAACATTCGCCCACCCGGGCAAGAGCTCTGAAAAGAACTGGGGCATTCGTTTGCCAGCGTAGCGTCTAAAAGATCGCGAACAACTTCAGCACAAGTGAGCTCAACATTCCGTGTTGACTCCATGTTTTTGCCTTTTTGGAATTTATGGGATTTGACTACTAAGACCAGAATTCAGCGCTCGCGTTAACGTTTATGACGTCATTAGGCGTAAGGTCTATTTGCATGAGTATATGTATAGTATATATAAACTAAATGCAATTTCGTATTCGCATGCATTTGTATCCTTTCCTAGCTGCACGTCGATTTTCAACATAACATATAGAGCGCAGAAATGTCGCGAAATCTCTCATGCCTCACGAGCTATGGACTATGTCTATGGTATACGAGTATAACTTATAACGCTAAGTTTGAAAGCATGCACTAGCTGAAAACGAATTCTAAACAGTCCACATCGTGAAAAAATTAGAAGACAAAAAATCCTTTGTTTTCAACTAAATTTAGAAGACAAGCGTATGCATGCAGGGGCGGATCTAGGATTTTTCGCACGTTAGTCAAAAATTTCGTTGCTGAACATAGGGGGAGGGGGTACTTTTGACTGAGGGAGAGGGTATACTTTTGACGGGGGGCCGGGGGGGGGGTCGCCAAGCAAATTAATATTTTTTATATGTGTTCTGTTTACGAAAAAATGTAACTTAAAAATTGCTTTTTCGCCAAATGTCAAACAGATATCCAATTCTCATCGAGAAATAGATTGACAAGGATGACTTGACGTTTTAAAAATGGTTATTTAATCGCATATTTTTTCCTTTGACATGGATGGTCAAAAAATTTTGCAATATAGTGATGCAGTTTAAAACATTTGATCGATTGATTGTTAAGTAGGAACACTGTGAGAATTTCCGCGTTTAATTTAATTCACTGCTCCCTCGAGTTTCATTCGTAGCAGAAACATGCGCCATGAATAAGTATTCACAATGGCAACATGATCCATTTTACTTGTTGTATACATGTTGTAGAGTCAGAGATCGTATTACACAAGGCCATGCTACATTGTCGTGTTCTTGTAGTTTAAAATAGGTATAAATAATACAGTGTTATTAAGTAGCTATCTGATAAATATATAAAGTCCACATGTCACAAGAAGCATAAACAAAGTATAAACACACTGAAACTGCCTGTATTAAGCCGCAGTATTTATGTAAATTGGCGGGAATATTATGTGAATTTCGTCTCGTATTATTATTATACGTCTTATACGCGGCACAATCCACCACAGTATACACATAGATATCTTATATACACTAGATAGCGCATCTCTTTTAGTAAAATTGAAGCCAAGAATATTCCAGCGGTTACCCCCATTTGAATAGATGGCGGCCATGTTGGTCGTTCCCACTTGCTAATAAAC